TTCTCCTTAGAGTTTACACAGATTTTTATACTAGTAAAGTGGGATGGAAGATTAATTTGAATTTTTTTCCAGGTAGGTGAAAGTTCACAGCTCCTCGAGGGACCGTAACACACCACAATGCCTCACACTACAGGTATGGCCAAGTAAATTTTATATATCAAATATTGTTGTTTTTGTATTTGCTCAGGAGTCTTAGGTCTCCACTAACCGAGTCAGTCGCCGTTACTTCCCGTGTTGAAGATCGGGATCACGTTTGGTATATAGTCACTGGAAATTTTCTTGATCCAGTGATTTTCTAGATAGTGACTTGCGTATATCATTAAGTCAGTCATTTTTCATCGTATATTTTTGTAATATGGGATTGAATCTGGATTCAATCACATCTTAGTTATATAGTTTTTTTAAGACATTCTTATGGTCTTCCTCCCTCACGCGCTGGTAGTTATTTGAAGGAAGCACAATATTTAAATTAAGATATATCGTCGTAAAATATGGGACTCCCTGACAGGCACGAATTGTTCCCCAATGCCTTGTCCAATATTGGCTCTTCAGCTTTCAGGGCCATAACTTAAAATTATTATTATTATTATTATTATATATATATATTTTGCGGAATTGGAAGCACATGGCTGCATCCTCTTGAATCTATGGATTTTCTTTTCTTACTATGAGCAGAAAACCTATTAACTTGCTAGTGGAAATTTATGATTATCACTGCAAGGATATTTACATTAAAGAAGTTTCTGGGTAGACAAAGTTTCTTGAAGTTCACCCAGCTTTTATGAGGATCTAAATTTACAGTTGAGCAATGTGAAGATGGTCGAGTGCAGTGCCGGCCAACCTGCCCCTTTGTGTACCTAAAACATGGTTAGTTTAAAATGGACCTTATACCTACTGGCCGTAATGGTCTCCAGGCCTTTGGGATTCATTTTCTAGGCTCTGAGTCAAGTATTGTGTATTTCTGCTCAGTCAATTTCTACACATTTTATATGATGGTTTATGGGATAAAAGTAACTCTAAACTTATTTCTATGACAATATTATACAAGGTTATTATAAAGGTTATATATGTTTACGTCTTCGTGACCTACAGTACTGTTGATCGTGTTTAAGTTTAATGATGGGCCGCGATGTCTTAATGAATATTTGCGTGACCAAGAAGAAGTAAAATTTGTAAATGTGGCGTTAAAATAGTTATTAATAGTCTAAAATAACTTATAATATGTAACAACTATTTGCACAAGAGGGCGTCAGGGAGCCAAGGTGAAGAGACCCGCTATGATCAGCCGTGGAAGTGTGGACTAAGATGTAGTATGATGATGCTCTGAGACACAGTACGTATATGTTGGCTGTTGGTGATGTATTAACTGAGAAGAACGAAAGATTGTAGACACAGAAGAATAATGAAAAACAGCACAAATGAATAACAATAGCAGGTTAGATTATATGCAATCGACCTAAATATTTCCTTTAGCTGTGCACCTTCCTGGTCTTGTAAGCAGTTTTTCTTATTAGACAGCACGACTGGTAAGGTGCCATATTGATGGTGTCATGGTAGGTGATATTCATCGCACACTGCACAAACCAAAAAACACAATTCCACTGGGCGCATTTATTATCACGTCATCATCCAAGTACTCGGTTTTGGCCGCCCGGTAGCGTTTTTACAAAGTCTTCTTGACACTGTTACATAAACGTCCTGATTGACCAGCGTCGTCATGTACATATATGGCGTCATGCATGCATGACATCACGTATACCACTAAGTTGCCAGCCACTGCCATAATCTTTGTTCCTTTATTTAAAGGTTACATTAGGTTAGGTTATATGGTGCACATTTGCCTTGTAAAGGGACACATTAGATAAAGGAGCATAATTTATGGGCAGTGGCTGGCAACCCAATGGTGGCGTGACATATATGTGGTGTTACGGGCCCCTATGTAAGTGTCAAAGAGAGTGTAAAAATGCCGCCCAGTCAAGCGGCGTGCCAAGGTCGCTTGTTTGGATATGTGCACATCCACCCGTTTGGGACGAGCTGTGTGTGGGCTACTGCTCCGAGCCCCAGCGTCTGCAACTCGTGTGTGGGATCAGACCACCACACTGAGATGTGTAAATCCATATTAATAAAAGACGGGATCCAAGCTTTTAATAAAACCCGAGAGTGAAGTAGTCCCATTACCTTACCGCCGCTGGGTGAGATTTGGCTGGTGATGGACAATGAGATGTCACTTGGGTCGTATTTCAATGTTTGTTTGTTGTACTCGTGAATAAGGAGCTTTCACTGCGCCTTTTAATTCAGAAATAAGGACCTTGCATATGTTACATCATATTTATGTCAAATAAATACACGTACTGTATAAACATATTGAAACCCATTTAAAGTATATTGATATTTCTGTGTTATAATGATTAAGGTTAATTTACATGTGTATTGAGAATGACATTCTTCTCTGAGATCTTCAATAACCTGCGATCTTCATTGGTGTGATAACACCAATGAAAGAAGGTGAGACACGTTTGTTTGTTCATATTTTTTGCTCTTACATTCAAAACGGAATGCTCGGGGAAATGTGTGTAACAGTCTCAGGTAAGGTGCATTATAACCAAGAACTTTCACTGTAGTTCAAGATCTGAACACAGCTGTCGTTGCAGTACCTGTATCTCGTTTAGTTTTGATACTAATTCCTTCGGAAGGGGAGACGGATTTTTTTAGGCGAGTGTACAGTGAAAGAAAGAATTCGCGTTACACTTACCGTGTCTTGTGTTCTGAAACCCACGACGAAGAATTTTGATAAAGTTTTCCGTTCAGACTCTAACCTCGAAGCTTCGCTGTCACTTACCCAAAATTTTCGTCATGGGTTTCGGAATATAACGCAAGAGGGGAGTAACACGACTTTTTCTTTGACTGTACAAGGTAACCGACTTAAGTGCCGTGTGAATAAGAAATAATATAAAAACGAACATCCTATCCCCGCCCTCCTCCTCAGGTTACTTCAGGAAGGATTTACCTGGCCGGTAGAGACGGTATTGGTGGAGCACGTACTGGTTCTTTCCCCTTTGGACCAATAAAGTGGAAGTTTGCATCACGTTAAAGCACGCACGCGGCTCTGTGAATGTACACACAACAGCATTACGTACGAGGCTCTCCAGGCACCAATAAAGAACGAGTAATATACAGGTACATACATCAATACTCACACACACATGTCAATATACCATTAAACAAGTGAGGTTGAAAGGTCAAGGTAAAAGCTCAAAGTCATAGCATGTAAATCGTTTATTATTCTGTTCATTTTTCCATGTATTTTTTCTGCAGATTTTGTAAAGTTTCTTGTATAAATAAATAATTCCACGTTTTTTTTATACTTGTGCCGATATTTGACGATTTTTGCTGTGTACATTTTTGCTCCACTCTTTACGTAAATTTGAACAGATCTTGTAGATTTTTGTGAGGTCATCCTGTGGTGTAAAGACGAAAGTTTAGTGTGGTGGTGGTGAGAGATGGGGAAGGAGAGGAGAGGGGGAAGAAAAAGGGAATGAGGGAGGGGGGGGGGGTGAATTAAGAGAGACTGAGTGAGTAAGAGGAGAGGAGGGAAGTGACTGAGAGGGGGAAGGGAGTTAAAAAAAATTCTGTCTGTCTGTGTCTATCTGGTCATTATTGGCACAATCATTATCTATCTATCAGTAAAGTTATATATCTTTTTACCAACATAATTATCTATCTTTTGCTTTGTGTACATGGCTGGGATAGGCTAGGTTAGGTTAGGATAGGATATGATAGGTCAGGAGACGAAGGAGAAGACATTAATTTTTTTTTACAAGATCCCTAAAAGGCGTCTAACAATCCTTAACTTGTCTAATAAGAATAAGACAGCCACACCATCACCCTAACCCAGAATCCTTCACTAAAACCATTAACTGCTGCCTTTAACTACCTCACATTATTAACTCAAGATAAAACCAAAAGCTACTGCCTTCTCGACGTACTCTAACCCGCTTTCCGCCATTACGAAATTTGTAACCTGGAAAACACACACACACACACAGAATATCACTACCACGTCAGAAATACCAGGATTAATCTCCCTCAACTGACACATTTACGATATTTCTACACTGGATGACATAAGGCTTATTACCATCTCATCAATAAACTGTCGAACCCCCCAGAAAACTTCCCTCGGCCGTAAGTCTAAAACATGAAAATGGCTGCCGTGTAAATAGAAATTCCGTACGTGAACAATATATTAGAATTATCCGGAATAATCTGCCTGATTTGGTGCATTAACGGTATTGGCAGAGGGACTGTGTTGACTTTTAGATCCCAGACAAAAGTTTGTGACGGCGGATCTTGAGGGAAAATCCAAGAGAGTTGACCTGGAGTTGGATTCTCTAAAGGACTCATTGACGAACGCGAGCCATGAAATCTGATTCTGAACGATTTATAAATTTGATAACAGCTTTAACACCGAGTAAGTAAGAGTACAGCAAGGAGTAACGAGCGATTATAAAGTCTCAGTGCAAAATCAACGTCATTTTGACGTCCATCATCGTATTGTAACCCGGACCACAAGTTGTCCACCATTGATGATATATTGTCATTTTAGTTGAGAGTAAAATACAGTAGCATCTTTTCTTAAACACACACTAACTCTTTAGGGTAATAGAAGTCATCGCCTCACCTCACGAAAAAAGATAACTATGAAATGGTATTTGGGTTAGTTTAGGTTAGATTTGGTTGTTATTTATGTAAGGTTAGGTTAAGTTAGGTTCCTTCTACCACGACTCAACTGATAGGTCATCCCACCTCACCTTCCCTGACCTCATAATGAACCCTTGTCACTGCGGCTAGTTGCCACAAGGCCGTTGGATGCCACATGACCCGGGGTACGACAGTGCCCCGGGTTGCAATAGTGCCCCGGGGTGCGACAGTGTCCTGGGGTGCCACAGTGCCCCGGGGTCCCACAGTGCCCCGGGGGGTGTAACAGGGTCTCAGGGGTATCACAGTGCCCCGGGGTCCCTCAGTGCCCCGGGGTTGTAACAGTGCCCCGGGTCCGACATTGCCCCTGGGGTCCGACATTGCCCCTGGGGTCCCACAGTGCCCCGGGGTCCCACAGTGCCCCGGGGGTGTAACAGTTCCCCGGGGTCCCACAGTGCCCCGGAGGGGTAACAGGGTCCCGGGGGTGCCACAGTGCCCCGGGGGTGTAGCGGGGTCCCAGGGGTGCCACAGTGCCCCAGGGGTAACAGGGTCCCAGGGTGCCAGTGCCCCAGGGGTGTAATAGGGTCCCAGGTGCCAGTGCCCCGGGGTCCCACAGTGCCCCGGGTTGTAACAGTGCCCCGGGGTCCCACAGTGCCCCGGGGGTGTAACAGTTCCCCGGGGTCCCACAGTGCCCCGGAGGGGTAACAGGGTCCCGGGGGTGCCACAGTGCCCCGGGGGTGTAGCGGGGTCCCAGGGGTGCCACAGTGCCCCAGGGGTGTAATAGGGTCCCAGGGGTGCCAAAGTGCCCCGGGGTCCCACAGTGCCCCGGGGTCCCTCAGTGCCCCGGGGTTGTAACAGTGCCCCGGGGTCCGACAGTGCCCCGGGGGTCCCACAGTGCCCCGGGGGTGTAACAGTGCCCCGGGATCCCACAGTGCCCCGGGGTCCCACAGTGCCCCGGGGGTGTAACAGTGCCCCGGGATCCCACAGTGCCCCGGGGTCCCACAGTGCCCCGGGGGTGTAACAGTGCCCCGGGATCCCACAGTGCCCCTGGGGTCCCACAGTGCCCCGGGGTCCCACAGTGCCCCGGGGGTGTAACAGTTCCCCGGGGTCCCACAGTGCCCCGGAGGGGTAACAGGGTCCCGGGGGTGCCACAGTGCCCCGGGGGTGTAGCGGGGTCCCAGGGGTGCCACAGTGCCCCGGGGTGTAATAGGGTCCCAGGGGTGCCAAAGTGCCCCGGGGTCCCACAGTGCCCCGGGGTCCCTCAGTGCCCCGGGGTTGTAACAGTGCCCCGGGGTCCGACAGTGCCCCGGGGGTCCGACAGTGCCCCGGGGTCCCACAGTGCCCCGGGGGTGTAACAGTGCCCCGGGATCCCACAGTGCCCCGGGGTCCCACAGTGCCCCGGGGGTGTAACAGTGCCCCGGGATCCCACAGTGCCCCGGGGTCCCACAGTGCCCCGGGGGTGTAACAGTGCCCCGGGGTCCCACAGTGCCCCGGGGGTGTAACAGTGCCCCGGGGTCCCACAGTGCCCAGGGGTCCCACAGTGCCCCGGGGTGCCACAGGGTCCCGGGGGTGCCACAGTGCCTCGATACACTTCTGTCACTCAACATTTTTCATGTGTAGTAATCACCGACAACCTCATTACTCTCATAAATCTCACTAATGAGACAATTATGCAAATGATTTGGACGATTTTCATTAATTTCTTCCTCTGTGATTTTTTATCTTAAAGATAAATTTGAGATTAATCACAATATTGAGGTAAAATGAGTAAGTCAATGTAGAAACTTTACGTTTATGATTGATAGTAATATATACAGTATTTGTTTCCCATGAAGTCAAAGTGTACTTTGCTTTGTTGTATTCAGTGGGTAACCATTTTGTTGAAAATAATATGTTTAAACTTTGATATGGTTTGTGTGTTGTGGTGTGTGTGTGTGTGTGTTGTGTTGTTTTGTTGTGTTGTGTGCGTGAATTCACACACACACACAGGTATGGTGAAATGTGTCCAGTGTGGTAGCATTATGTTAGTGTTAAGGTGCAAGCACTGCTTGCTCCCTCTCGCTTTTAGCTGCCGCCTCTGGCTAGCCCTCGTGGCAAACAGGGAAGCAACTTGCATAAGACTTCTCCTGCCAGTACACAGCCTCTTCACCATCAAGACTCCTGCTGTGCCTCCTCGTGGCAATAAACGGTAACTGGGTGCCTCGTGGGCCCAGGCTAGACCATAGGGACGGCGCATTGGCCCACTGGCATGTGGACACGTCCTGGCGCCTACCAACCGCTGCCTTGCGGATTAACCTTGGCAGGTATAAGGCTACGGGAGTAAACCCCGAACGAAAAATCTGCGGTGGAGTCCCGCATCAGGCAGACATGCTTACAGAGCTCCAACAAGACCCCGCGGTATAGGCGGAAGAGGTGACCACCATGGAAACCCAACAACTACACCGGCAGACGATGGCAATGCCTGATGGACAGGCTATTAAAGCGAAACCCAACAAACTGGGCTATCGGAAATCCATTGCAACTCTCCCTCTCCCCAGTGGTTGCAACACTTGCACACTGGATCAGGTAAAGGGAGAGCCAAGATGTGTGGTTGCAGCCTTTGCTCCTGCCTCACCACATAAATCAACTCACGTGCAGCCATCACCTAGCTCATCATACCTCTCATCATCATCAAAACCCCTATAACCCCAAAGGTGCTATGCCGAAGGACGAGTGGCGATGGGAACAGGCAGAGATGACTGCCTGGAGTCTCTATCACAACTCTGCACATAGGTGGCACACATAAGATGGTCGTTTATGCAC